ACTAGGTTCTCAAGGAGCCAGGATGTCTTTCGTTGATCTAATCTTGCCCTTGAGCATCACAGGCATGAGGTCTGTTCCCAGAAGGGAGCCACTGGCTTCCAGTGGGGTGCAGCTAGAGAATTGTGTGGCTGTTGCATTGGAAGGCTAACCCTATGCATAGGGAAGCCAACTTGCTGCAATAATAAAAAAAAAAAGATATAAAATTTTAACAAGAAGGACCTTGTTTGGGTGCCAAATTCTCCAAAAGAAATGGCAATATAATTTGGTTTTTTTATTTTATTTATTTTTTATTTTTTATTTTTTTTGAGGCAGGGTATTGCTATGTAGTTCAGGCTGGAGTCAAATTCACTAAGCAGCCCAGCTAGCCTCAAACTTTCAGCAATCCTCCTGTCTCACCCTCCCGAGTGCTAGAATTACAGGCATAAGCCACCATGCCTGGCTTAGCCTGGACAATTTTCTAGACCTTGTCTCAAAATAAAAAATATAAAATAAATCAAAACAAAACAATTTAAAAAGGGCTGAGGATGTAGCTTACTGTGAAAGTCCTGGGTTGGGTTCAAACTCCAGTACCACACACACACACAGACACACACACACACTCTCTCTCTCTCTCACCAAGGGCCTGAGGGACAGTTTCTCTCTCTCTCTCTCTCTCTCTCTCTCTCTTTGTATCAGGGATCGAACTCAGGACCTTGTGTGCTTACAAGGCAGGAGACAGTACCACTGAGCTAGATCCCCAGCTCTGGGATAGTTCTCTTGCTTGTCACTGCAGGCTTTAAGCTTAGCCTGGCCACTGGACCACCTCATTTCCCACTTCTGCTCTAATCAGCAGCCTCCATCCCCAGCCTATGTAGGATTCTGCCCTGTACCTTTTCCCACACTGACTTCCTCTGGAGAGGCTGATTCCTCTGCCTGGCTTGATCTGGCTCAAGTCCCCATGTCCTGAGATGCTTCCCACACCCCTCCAACCTCCTCCAGTGCTGATACTAGAGTCATACTTGGTCACCTTGATCACAAACTATCCTGGTCACCTTGGTCACAAGGTAGTGACCATTTCCTGTAGGTGCAAGCTTTTTCCAGGAGTAAAGAGGCTGTTTCTCACAGATTTTGATGGTTGTTTTGGTTTTTCATTTCCCCCAGTGCCAGAGGCTCACCTTGTCTCAACTCTTACCAACTAAGGAGCAAGCTAGCTTGGCAATAATTCCTCTTGTTTTCTGGTCTCAGTCCAAATCTTCTATCAAGGGTCTTCCCTGCTCACCCTACCAATGCGGTTCACCAATGCTGGTCACCTTCAAGGGAATTCAGCCTTCTCATACAGTTTGTTACAACTGAAAGCCATTCCTGTGTTTGTTTATATTATGATTCCTCAGCACAGGAAAGACTTTGTTTTGCTTGGTCACGCCTATATCCAAAGTGCCTAGAAAAAGACCTAGGACAGGTCCAGGTGCTCAATCAATATTTACTGAGTGAATGAGTAAATGTTTCCCCAACTAGACTGCAAGTTCCCAGGGGGCAGGATCTGGTTACTTCTTGGAGAGAGCCAGGGCTTGGCACTTGTTAAAGTACGATTCACTGATACTATGGAAGAGAGACAGCCTTAAACTGAAGGGTCTATGCCAGGGATGGTAAACCTTTTAGAGCTTTCAATGATAACAAACAGCCCACTAAAGCATACTAGCTGTAGGTTCACTGGTACTTTATCTTGTTAATCTTGGACTTTAGGTTATTGGGTCTTTTTTTTTTTTTTTTTTTCAGTACTAGAGGTTGAACCCAGGGGCTTTACACTGAACTACATCTCCAGTTCCCCTACCCTTTTTTGGAGACAGGGTTTCATTATATAGTTCAGACTGGGCTTGAACTCACTATGTAGCCCAGGCTGGTCTTGAACTTGCAGGCAATCCTCCTGCCTCAGTCTCCTGAGTGTTGGGATTACAGGCATACATCACTATGCCTGCCCCCCCCCTTTTTAATCAGGAATTGAACTCAGGACCTTGTACTTGCCAGGCAGGCACGGCACCACTGAGCTAAACCCCAGGCTCTGACCCTTTTTATTCTAAAATTTGAGACAGATCTTGCTAAGTTTCCCAGGCTGCCCTCAAACTTATGATCTTGCTGCCTCAGTCTCCTGAGTTGCTAGGATTACAGGCATTCACCCATCTTTTTGGCCTTCCCTTGAAGGGTGTAGCTCAGTTTCTGCTGGTATCTGTGCTCCTACTCCAGGATTTGATGAATGAGTGGCCAACACATGCAATACTCAGGGCAATCCTGGGCCTCAGTGCTGGCTGAACAGCAGCATGACCATCTGTTCCACCCTCCTTTCCTGAGGGCCTACCTTGGACAGCCCACCATCTCATCTGCATGCCCCTTGAAGGCTGTGCCCTCAGGGAATCTCACCCTGCAATCCTTTTTTCTCCCCTGTTTCCATTGAAGGTGGCACTGTCCACTCAGGCTCCCAGGCCAGAGACCTATGCAGCTTTCTCACCTCCTCCCTCCCTCTTGCCCTGTCACCCTCTCAGCAATTAGTCAACAACCTTCTGAATGCTCCCTGGACTTCTGCAGCAGCTTCCTACTGTCTTCTCATATGCCTCTAATCTGGCCTATTTTGTTCTCCTCTTTCCTCCTCTCTTGCCCCTCAGCCTTCAGAGTAATACTTTACACACTAAACCTGCTCAGATCGCTGCTCAAAACCTTTAAATGCCTCTCATAACCCTTAGGGCAGTCTTCAAACACCATTTTATCACCCACCAGGAACCTACCCCCTCCCCTCCTCCTGTAGCTCTCAAGCCCCCAAACTTCATGGTGCACTCGCTCCTCTCAGTCCCCACCTGCACCACGTTATTCTTGTCTACTGCCTCTGCACTCCTCTGCCTGCTACACTTTTCTCCCTCAGCCTCCTGCTTCCTCCTGGATGCCATCCCTGACTACAGCCCTCACACTCAGTTAGGTGCTCTTTCTATTGTAATTGTCTGACTCTATCACCTCTAGCTTGCATCTATTCACCCTCCACTTGACCCTGAGTTCCCTAAAGGCTCCAAGGTATCTGCCTTCTTCAGCTTCTCAACAGGCTCTGGTTCGCAGCAAGCACTCGGCAAATATTTATTGGATGACACTAAGACTGCTGGATTAAAATCTCAGCTCCATCACATTCTAGCTGTGAACCTGGGCAAGTTTCTTAACGTCTGCTTCCTCCTCTGCTATAAATGGGGACAGTAACAATACCTTTCCGGTAAAGTTGTGAAGGGCCAAGTACTTAGAGAAGTTGCACATACATCTGGTTATTAATTTTTTTAACATAATCTTTTCCTGGCTCTCAACCACGCACCCGGGAGGCCCAAGCATAAAAGCACACCTCTTCCTCCTGCACAAGAGAACTCCACCAACACCCTGCTGGACCCTTCGCCTACTTTCCGGCTTTTGCGTATGCCTGGGCCCACCTAGGAAGCTGACGCCATCGACGTGGCCCATTTAAGGATCGAAGGGGCGGGTCCGGGAAGGCCCCGCCTCCGCGTGAGGTCAGCGCGCTCCGCGGCGTGTGACGCTCTGGTTGCCGCAGTCCTCCTGCACAAGAGAACTCCACCAACACCCTGCTGGACCCTTCGCCTACTTTCCGGCTTTTGCGTATGCCTGGGCCCACCTAGGAAGCTGACGCCATCGACGTGGCCCATTTAAGGATCGAAGGGGCGGGTCCGGGAAGGCCCCGCCTCCGCGTGAGGTCAGCGCGCTCCGCGGCGTGTGACGCTCTGGTTGCCGCAGAGA